GCCCCGCGACTCACGTCCAGGATGACCGAGGTGCCTTTCTTCGGCTCAGCGCCGGCGGCCCCGGGCTCCTCGGGCAGCAGCTCCCGCTCGGCCAGGGGGCTCTTGCCGTCGCTCATCTTGGTGACCACCCAGCGGAGCAAGCCGTCCAGCCCGCCGCCGCTACCGCCGCCGCCGCCGCTACCACCGCCGCTCGCCGGCTGCTGCTGCTGCTGCTGGCGGAGCAGCCTGTGGACGCTCTCGCGGCAGTAACGCGCTGCCCGCTCACACATCTTTCCCCGACGCCTTCATGCCGGAGCCGGGGGTATTCCCTCCCCCCCCCACCCTCCCGTCCCCAGCCCCGGCTCCCTCCGCGCCCCGAGCCCGAGCCCACCCTTGCGCGCCCCCCGCCGGAGGCAAGGCAGGCAGGCAGGCAGGCAGGCAGGACTGGCCCCGCCGAGGGGGGCGAGAGGGAATGAAAAGCCGGAGGGGGGGGCGGCGCGGGGGGTGGGAGGAGGAAGGGGGCGCGGCAGGCGGGTCTGGTCTCCGATCCAGCCGGAGGAGGAGGAGGAGGAGGAGGAGGGGAGGCGCGGGGCCGCCCCTGGCTTCTCGCCGCGGCGCGCCTGGGGAAGGAGGATGAGCCGCTTCCTGAAGTTTCCTAGGTACCAGATTTATTTTGGGAGTGGGGGGGACGGGGTGGGGAGAGAATTGAAAAGCCCAATGCAAAGGAAAAGGGGGAAGGGTAAGAGGAAAGCGAGCAAACTCCAGTCGTCAGTTGTCCGAAATTATAGGATGAGGTGAGAGATGAGATCTTATGATAGACGACATGCCGTGTAATAACAGCAGAGCAGAGCAGAGCACTTAGACTTTTAGAGACCACTTCGTAGGGCTTTACAGAGTCAGCATATTGCCCCTAACAATCTGAGTCCTTATTTTACCGACCCTGGAAAGATGAAAAGATGAGTCGACCTATAGATCGGTCATAAGGTAACATAACATAATATAACAACATAACACAACATACATTAACATATCATAAAACAACATAACAACATAACGTAACTTAACAACATAACATAACATAATATAACAACATAACATAACATAACATAACATAACACAACAATATAACATAATATAACATAACATAACAATATAACATAATATAATAATATAACATAACATAACAATATAACATAACATAATATAATATAACAATAGAACATAACAATAGAACATAACATAATAGAACATAACATAACATAATACCCTGTTTCTCCAACAATACGGCCTCCCCCAGTAGGAAATCCCAGCATGTTTTATAGGCATGAAATGAAATTAAGCCCCTCCCCCCAAATTAAGGCCTGTATTAAAGCATATGAAATGGGGGGGAATGGTGGGGGGGCTTGCTGTTAGGAAGTACTTTTGCTGCACACCCAGATATGGTGCTGCCTGCATTGACCCCAATACGAAGTGCCCCACCAACGCCGAGGTCAACATCCAAGCCATCGCCCCACCCCGAAGATGCAAGGGGGGGGATTAAGTCACCCCCAAAAAGACGGCCTAGCCATTTTTTCGGGGCTCGAAAAAAAAAAAAAAGACCCAGCCTTATTATATGAGAAACACGGTATAACAATATAACATAATATAACAATATAACCTAACACAATATAACATAATATAATATAACATAACATAATAGAAGATAATAGAACAATAGAACATAACATAATATAACATAACAATAGAACATAACATAATATAACAACATAACAACATAACATAGCATAATATAACAACATAACAATAGAACATAACAGAACAATATAACATAACATAATAGAACAATAGAACACAACATACTGTATAGTAGAGATCATTAAGTCTGGATAGTAAACGTTGCAATGCAGAAGAGAAGAGAAAACTGAAGAACATCACAAAATACAAATGCCTGCAAAAAGAAATAGAATGACTGTGGCGAAAGAAAGCAAAGATAGTTCCAATGGCAATAGGCGTCATGAGTGCAACCCCAAAACATCTGGAGCACCCCTTGAACATGTTCGGCATTGACCAAATCACCATCGGTCAATTGCAAAAGGCAGCATTCCTCGGAACAGCTTACAACCTGCGTCAAGACTTTTAACACATCCAACAACCATGTTCCAGTTCTTTGGAGAAAGTGGGGGGGGGGGATACGAAACCCAGTCTAAAACAGCCATAATAATTCTGCATGACACATTGACACCGAATGCATATTGATTCATGAATCATGGTTTGCAAATCTCAAAGCCTGAGTTTCCACTTAAGTCAGACCAAGAAGCACTAAAATACTAATTCAGATTTTAAAAAAGCAACCACAGCGTTGTGTATAATCTGTGAACTGGTTGATATAGTATGCTAAACCAAATCCAAAGCTAATTTTAGCTTAGTTTCTTGCACAAATCCAGTCAAACATGAATTACAGGCAAATCTCCACTTTATGTCCACAGTGGAGTCCAAAAAATAATAAACCATGGTTTAACATAGAAAGCAAACAGGGTAATACTGAATGCAGGGATGGTGTCTTTTGGAGCAAACAATAGTGCTTGTAGTGAATTGCCAATGAGACCTTAAGCCATGATGGAGACCTTTACCTACCGAGCAACAGGTGTGAACTTAGGACACCTTTCCAAGGCCACCAACAGATTGTGCCACCTTTACTGACATTTTGGCTCTGTTCTGAATGGAAAGCTAACAAAAGTAAAACAGGAGGAGGAAGGGGTGTTATGTATGTTTGCCGCCTTGAGTTATTTATAAAGTAATAAAGGTGGAGTAAGCATCTAGTACATGTATTCATGAATTTGACACTTTTCCGTGGAAGCTGTTGGGATTCACTGCTGCTCTGCGTGCTGAACTATGGCAAGATTCCCCAAGAGGAAAAATCTTCCCAGGGTTGTTATAGGAGGAACCAAAATGAAAGGCCTGCATGCACAGCAACCTTCTCCAACTCGATGTTCTTCAGAAGATCAGGGCTTCCTATATATCTGGAAAATTCCAGAGAGTTCTTCAAGGAAAACTGAGATATAACTCCTGCCTTCTTCCCTTTCCCCCTCTTTCCCTTTCCTTCCTTCCTTCTCTCCTTCCTTCTTTCCCTCTCCATCCTTCCTTCTTTCTTTCTCTTCCTCTTCTTCCTTCCTTCTCTCCCTCTTCTCCCCTTCTTCCTTTCCCTCTCCTTCCTTCCTTCTCTCCCTCTCTCCCTCTTCTCCCCTTCTTCCTTTCCCTCTCCATCCGTCCTTCCTTCTTTCCTTCTCTCCCTCTCCCTCTTTCCCTCCTCCTCTCCCTCTCCCCCTCTCCTTCCTTCCTTCCTTCCCAGTCCTAAAGCCTAAGCTCTGCTTATTGGACCCAATTGAAAAAAGGGCACTATAAACTAATATTCACCAGGGGAAAAAAAAATCTGCTGGTTCTCGTTTATTTTGATGGAAGGAACTGTGGCTGATTCCTATTTTTCCAAAGAGGGATTTCTTTCCTTATGGGATTCTTAGGGACAGATGGACCAGGGCCGAGTGAAAAAATATCTTGAAACTACCAAACTACTTTTCTCATTTCACTCCATCTTTCTGCCAGAGAAATACAGGTAAGTCCTCAACTTACAGCAGTTCATTTAGTGGCCATTTGAAGTTATCACAGCACTGCAAAAGTGACTTACGACCGTTTTTTACGCTTAACAACCATTGCCTCATCCTCATGGTCCCATGGTCCAAATTCAGTTGCGCTTGGCAACTGACTCTTATTCATGACCGTTGCTGTGTCCCAAGGTCATGGGATTCCTTTCATGACCGTCTGACAGGCAAAATCCAATCGAGAAGCCGGGTTCACTGAGTCAGTTGCCAAGTGCAACTGAATTTGGACCATGTTATTAACTGAACCATGTAGAGATTCACTCAACAACTGTGGCCAGAAAGGCTGTAAAATCACCATCATCTTCATTTAATAACCCCCCATAATCCCTTGCGGGATGGAATCTGGGCAACTGAATCGAGCTAGCAGAGAATTTTACTGGCCAGATGCCCTTCCTGTCACCAGTGTGGAGTTTTGTTCAGCAGACAATATTCTCATTGTGCCCAGAGAGCAAAAAAAAAAAAAAAGCTGCCTCTATCTAGGATTGAACTCACAGACTCCTGATTGTGAGGCAAGAGCTCCACCTCTAGGTTACCATACCACTCCCCGGAAAAGTTGTAAAATGGGGTTGTAAAATGTAATAAAGGCAGTAAAAAAAAATTGCTTAAATAACCATCTTGGCTTAACAACAGAAATTTGGGGGTCCTTTGTGGCCATAAATTGAGGACTAACTGGAGTCACATCTTTTAAGCCAGGGGTGTCCAACCTTGGTAACTTTAAGACTTGTGGACTTCAACTCCCAGAGTTCCTCAGCCAGCTTTGCTGGGAGTTGAAGTCCACAAGCTTTGCTGGCTGAGGAACTCTGGGAGTTGAAGTCCACAAGTCTTAAAGTTGCTAAGGTTGGACACCCCTGTTTTAAGCCCCTTTGGCCCTCAGAAAAAAGGGGACAGAGAATTCCTGAGCATAGCTTTAGTTGTTAGTTGCAAAGTCGTGTCCGACCCATCGCAATCCTCATAGACTACATTCCTCCAGGCCTTCCTGTCCTCTACCATCCTCCGGAGTCCATTTAAGCTCACGCCGACGGCTTCAGCGACTCCATCCAGCCCCCTCCTTCTCTGTCGTCCCCTTCTTCTTCTACTGCCTTCAATCCTTCCCAACTCTAACCCTGACCCCTAACCCTGGTTCTTTCTCTTCCAGCCCTGCCACACGTGGAAACAAGATGCTGCCCCGTAGAGGCATTGCATCCACTGGAGCCAGTAATTGGGTTTGGATCCAGCCTCCCCTGAAAGTCATTACTGCAACCAGAGTGGGGCAGAGCTTCCCAAGCCTGTCCACCATTAAACCATCTTTCCAAGCAGTCACCATGTTTCCCGGTGTCTTTCTTCCCCACTTGGAACTGAACCCAGAAGGCTATTTCTTCTCCAGGGAGTCCTTCCTTCTCATGAGGTGGCCAAAGTCTTTGAGCTTCATCTTCAGGATCTGGCCTTCTGAAGAGCAGTCAGGGTTGGTCTCTTCTAGGACTGACCGGTTGGATCACCTTGCAGTCCGAGGGACTCGTAGGAGTCTTCTTCTTCAGCGCCAGAGTTCAAAGGCCTCCATTCTTTGGTGCTCAGCCTTCCTTACGGTCCAACTTTCACAGCCACACATTGCAACGGGGAAAACCATAGCCTTGACTATACGCCCTTTTGTTGGCAAG